ATATAAAGATTATTATATGAAATAATTTTTGGTAAAAAAAAATGTTGCCGTGGTTGTATTTGAACCGTGTTTTAAATGTCCATCTCAATAAAGGAAAATGATAAAATAAATAATCATGTTTCCTTTGTTTGAATCGTCGATTTTTCATAATAAGACAAGCCATATTGCGATCGAAATCGCTGCTACTTAGAAGCATTTTAAATTTTAAATAAATTACAAACAGTTTATCTTCATAGAGGCTATATCAAGTCATGTAAGTATTTGTCTATTCAGTATCCTGTAAAATTATGTATGATTTACTGTAAATTGAGTTTATTCTGTATATTTAAGGAATAACTGTCTTATTTTTCGAATTCATGAAGTGATCAATCGATTGGCTTGCGTTTATGCAATTATCACGCAAGCCAATCGAATGATCATCTTCATGAAATTGAAAAATCTGACAGTTATTCCTTATATTTACATGCTTGGATTCCGCCAATCCACGCGCTCTAAGCCCTGCTTCTGTCTAGCTGTTTGTCCCGCCCTGCACGTGGTTTTTTTTGGAACCGCGCCAAAACATTGATGGGGAAATAAAGTAAATTTACATTTGGTAATTTTATCTCGTACAAAGACATTGGAAATGAAAATATTTAATGATCAAGATGAATTGTTTACATATTATTATCATTATTATTTTATTAATTTATAAAGCGCAAAATCACATATAGTTTCTATGCGCTGTACAATAGTTTTGCTAACATTTAATAGCAATTATCAATAAAATCTATAAATCTGTTATGGAAAGTAAATAATCGATAAAACAAAAAGGACCTTAAATAAAACATGGCAGTAAGATGAAATTGTTTAACGTAGACAAGGTAAAATAAAATGAAAATAAAACTGTTATGTACACAGGAAAGTACTTCTGAAGTTAAATTTATGAGAGGTACCACATGGAGTCCTAGATGTTATGCTGGAATTTTACATTCATAGGTTATATTCACGCTTGAACAAGAGTGTTTTTAGGTTCTTGCGGAATGCTCCATGTGCTTCAAGCTCTCGTAGTTCTAAAGGCAGGTTGTTCCACAGTTGTGCGCCTAATGTGCTTATGGCTCTTGCACCATATTTGTTCGATGATTTCTTTACTATTACTTTCCATTTGTTTCATTTGTATCAAATTGTTTCTTACAAAAGACATTATTGATCAAATTTATTATCTCTGTTAAATATCACATATTATTGAATAGTAAAACAATAGTGTAGTCTTGATAAAAAAAATAGTTTTAGTTTTCGAAGTATGTTATTTTTACACTTAGTTTAGAATATAATGATCAGAGATATAGAATATGCATTGAAGGTCTGTTTTATTATCATATTAGGTTAATAACATAGATGTGACGGATCACGATCCATGGGTTTTTGATTACTCCTTTACTTAGGGTATGTTTTATCCATGAATAAGGTCATACTTATTGGTATATATAATATTGGCATATATAATATTTAAGGCATAATAACAATTTATACAAATGCCTGAATACAATGAAATTTATTTTTTGTGCAATTGCATTGCAAACTGTAAATGTAATTTTCACAATAATCATTGATGTTAGATTTTATTACTTTTCATATTATATTATAAGCTATCACAAATTAAATTATGCGTGTTACATAATTATCTCCCTTTAAAAGAGACGGCATGACCCTTCATTTGAATAAACCTGAATCCCCTTCATCTAAGAATACTTTATGGCAATTTTGGTTGAAATTGGCCCAGTGGTTCTTGAGAGGATGAAAAAGTGAAAAGTTTACACAATGACGGCGACGACGACAACAACGACAGACAAAGGACAATTTTTTATCAGAAAAGCCCATTTGAGCCTTTGGCTCAGGTGAGCTAAATAAAAAATTCACCCTGCATTTACAAACTTTTGCTCTAAAGTTTAGAAAAATGCCTTGTTATTTCTTTTGGCATTTATTTTTTAACAGTTGTTCTAGTATTTATACAAATAAATAAATGACTTTAAAATGTTCACTCACATTTACGTGTTTTTTCTAACCGATGGTCTCCGCCCTGATTTTCTGCAGCACACAATATATGAGGCTTAACTTCTTTTATAAGATCTCTCCTTGGTTGCCATCTTATGTTAGTTAAACCCATTTTAGCATAATCCAAATGCCCTGCACCTGCAAAACAGAAAAATAAACTAATTTAATACATTGATCAAAAGGTCAGGGCTGTTAGTAGAGACATGTTCCAATATATTTCAATGTAAACTTTGATTTACTATTGAAGCCCCCATCCTGCCCGTGGGAGTAATGATTTGAATAATTGAGACTCTATACTACCCCAGGATGCTTCCACAAAAAAAATTCAGCTTCTTTGGCCAAGTGGTTCTTGAGAAGAAGATTTTTACAGGGTTTTTTTTTGCATTATTTTACTATATTTACAATGGCCAGAGGTCTCTGGCGAGACTGTAGCTCTGATGGTCAGTATTGATAACAAAGGAGAAGTAGCACTTGGATTTGAAACTTTGCAACAGACAGCAACAAAGAGAACAATGTATCTTAGGGTAGTCTACTTTTTTGCCTTATATTGAAGCCAAAATGTAGAAGGAGTAGCGTTTTTAAGGAATTTCACAGAAATTTCTATTATTAGTAACCATGGCAACATCGTTCTTCAAATAAAAAACAGATGCACTAAAGAATGCATCTTAGTGTAGTCTGCTTGTGTGCCAAGTTATATTGAAATCAGTCCAAAACTGTAGGAGGAGTAGCGTTCTAAAGGAATTTCACAGAAATTTCTATTTTTAGTAGCCATGGCAATATCGTTCATCGAAATCAAAAACCGATGCACTAAATTATGTATCTTTGTTTAGTCTACTCGTGTGCTAAGTTTTATTGAAATCAGACCAAAACTGTAGGAGGAGAAACGTTTTAAAGGAATTTCACAGAAATTTCTATTTGTAGTAACCAAAGAAACATTGTTCAAAATCAAAAACCGATGCATTAAATTATGTACATTAATGTAGTCTACTTGTGTGTCAAGAAAATAATGAAATCAGTCAAAAACAACAGGAGGAGAACCATTTAAAAAAAAAAACAAGAGGCCTATGGGCCACATTGCTCACCTGAGATTAGCTTTGACCATTTTGTTCTTTACTAGATTTCCCCGTTGTAATACACATTGTGACCCCACCCTACCCCACTGATCATAATTTAGACAATTTGAAATCTACACTACCCCAGGATGCTTCCACATAAGTTTCAGATGTTCAAATATTGTCCAATATATTTCTATGTAAAACTTTGATTCCCCATTGTGGCCCCGCCTTAACCCCCCCCCCCCCCCCGGTCATGATTTGAGCAATTTAGAATCTACACTACCCCAGGATGCTTCCACATAAGCTTCAGCTTTTCTGGCCCAGTGGTTATTAAGAAGAAGATTTTCAAAGATTTTTCCTATATATTTCTATGTAAAACTTTGATTCCCCATTGTGGCCCCGCCCAACCCCTCTGGGGTCATGATTTGTACAATTTAGAATCCACACTACCCCAGGATGCTTCCACATAAGTTTCAGCTTTTCTGGCCCAGTGGTTCTTGAGAAGAAGATTTTAAAATTTTTTCCTAAATATTTCTATGTAAAACTTGGATTCCCCATTGTGGCCCCGCCCTACCCCCGGGGGTCATGATTTGAACAATCTAGAATCTACACTACCCCAGGATGATTCCACATAAGTTTCAGCTTTTCTGGCCCAGTGGTTATTAAGAAGAAGATTTTCAAAGATTTTTCCTATATATTTCTATGTAAAACTTTGATTTCCCATATATTGTGGCCCGCCCTACCCCCGGGGGTCATGGTTTGTAAAATTTAGAATCTACACTACCCCAGGATGCTTCCACATAAGTTTCAGCTTTTCTGGCCCAGTGGTTCTTGAGAAGAAGATTTTTAAAGATTTTTCGTATATATTTCTATGTAAATCTTTGATTTCCCATTGTGGCCCTGCCCAATCCCGGGGGGTCATGAGTTGAACAATTTAGAATCTACACTACCCCAGGATGCTTCCACATAAGTTTCAGCTTTTCTGGCCTAGTGGTTCTTGAGAAGAAGATTTTTTAATGAACCCACCCTCTTTTGTCTTTTCTTGATTATCTCCCCTTGTTAAGGGATTTGGCCCTTCATTTTAACAATTTAAATTCCCCTTTACCCAAGGATGCTTTGTACCAAGTTTGGTCAAAATTGGCCCAGTGGTTCTTGAGAAGAAGTCGAAAATGTGATAAGTTTACGGACGGACAGACGGACGGACGGACGACGGACACAATGTGATCAGAAAAGCTCACTTGAGCCTTCGGCTCAGGTGAGCTAAAAATGTTTACATACAGACGGTCAGACGGAGACAGTTAGACAGACAGACTGACAGACAGACGGACGGCGGACACCTTACTATGGCATAAGCTCTTCTGGTCTCTGGTCTTTTGGCTAAAAACTTGGATTCGCTATTGTGGTTCCACCCTTCTCCTGTGGGGTCATGATTTGAACAATTTAGATTCTTCACAGAGGTATGCTAGGGTTAGCTTTTCTGGCCCAGTGGTAATTTAAAAAAAGAAGATTTTAAAAGAATAATCCTCTGTATTTTAATTTAAAATTGGATTCTTTATCGTGGCCCACCCTACCTCTGGGATTCATGATTTGAATGATTTATAACTTACACTACCACAGGATGCTTCTTAAAAAGTTTCAGCTTTTCTGGCCGAGTGGTTCTTGAGAAGAATTTAAAATCTGAAAAGTTTACAGATGGACGTACAGACAGATGACAATTATCTTACTACTGCATAAGCGCCTCTGGTCTCTGACCAGAAGATTCTGAGCTAAAAATGATGATATCCTTACCTCCAATCATTTTGAAACCATCAGATGGTTTAGGCCATGTAGGTTTATCACTAGGCATATGTTTGGCACTCCACCATACAATGAAATATGAAGTATAATCAACTACGCGAGCAGCCAGGCTACTCTCTGGATTGAAGTGACATTTTACTGACACAATCTTTGTTTTACCGATTAGTTTAACCTCTCCTGTAGCAAAAATCATTCGTGAAGCTGCAAGAGAAAATGGTTCTAATATTGAAAAGATGCCTAGGGGATCACCTGAGCACTGTGGTAAGAAAAACAAGAGGCCCATGGGCCACATTGCTCACCTGAGTAGCATTGGCCATGCTGTTCTTTATCAAATTTCTCCCCTTGTAATACCTATTAATACTCTGACCCCAACCCAGGATTCATAATTTGGACAAATTAAAATATACTCTAAATAAATCCCTTATTTATTCACGAGAGAACTTTATTGTTGCATTATTACGCATCTGTCTGCTCGAAAAAAATAATTCTTGCGTAAATACGTATTTGTAGGGATTATATACAACAAAATCTGTAACTCGCGAAAAGTTTTTCTTGCTTATAATTACCTTATAGCTCGCGAAAATAAAGCGTCGCAAAAATAGAATGATTTACAGTACAAAATCCCAGGATGCTTCCACACAAGTCAGCTTTTCTGACCCCATGGTTCACAAAAAGAAAATTTTGATTTCAACTTCACCAATGTTTCAATGTAAAGCTTGGATTCTATTGAGGCCCCACCCTACCCCCACAGGTCATGATTTGAACAATTTAGAATCTACACTTCCCCAAGATGCTTCCACATAAGTTAAAAATTTTCTGGCCCAATAGTTCTTAAATTTTATAGAAGATTTTTTTCCTTAAAAATTCAATGTTAAACTTGGATTCCCTATTGTCGCCCCGCCTAACCTCTGGGGTCATTATTAGAACAATATTAAAATGTTCACTACCCCAGGATGCTTCTACATAAGTTTCAGCTGTTCTGGTCCAGTTTTTCTTGAGAAGAGTTTGAGGCCCCGCCCTACTCCAAAGGCGTCATGATTTGATCAAGTTTCAGTTTTTCTGACATAAGGGTTCTTTTTTAATGACCCACCTTCTTTGTCTTTTCTTGATTATTGATCTCCTTTGGAAGGGGACTTGTACCTTCATTTTAACAATCTAAACACCAATTTACTCAATTATGCTTTGTACCAGTTTACAGAAGGACCGACGGACACACAGACGGACGGACAGATGGAAGGACGACAGACAAAAGGTAATCAACAAGAGGCCCACGGGCCTTATAGGTCACCTGAGTATTGTGTAACAACTTTCAAACAATTAAATTTGGTTCGTGTTTTAAACCAGAGGCCATGAAATTCACAATTTTGAAAGAGACACCATTGCTTATCATAATTAAAAATACTCTACTTACTCAATACCCAGAGATAGATCAGAGGTACAAAGAGAAAATGTTCTTCCACTTTATAACCAGTTGTGCACCTCACCCAAAAAGAACCACTGACCTTGGGGCCACATATTTCAAAATTTTGCAAATTTTATCATAAAATGGTTGATTAATACCAAAGAGCAGGTTTCAAAGCATTAATTTATTTTCAGATTATGTAGCCCCTCCCCCCCCCCCTCGGGACATAAAAAAAAAACAATTTTGCTAGATGCACCTTTCTTCATCATAAATATATATACTTGGATAATTGGCATAAAATTCACAATTATGGAAAAGGCACTCTTACTTTTCATAACTATATGCTTAGTTAGTTTATTTAATACCCAGAAGCAGATATTAAGAAGATTTTCAAAGAATAAAAGCATTTTCACTATATAATCTATAGAGCCCCGCCCTAACACCAGAACCCCTGACCCTGGGGCCATAAGATTCACAAATCTGGAAGAGGCACTCTTGCTCATCATAACTATGTACTTAGTTAGTTTATCTAATACCCAGAATCAGAGAAGAAGATTTTTAAAGAATAAATGCATTTTCCTGGTATATACTATATAATCTATAGAGCCCCGCCCTAACACCAGAACCCCTGACCCTGGGGCCATAAAATTCACAATTTTGGTAGAGGCACTCTTGCTCATCATAACTATGTACTTAGTTAGTTTATTTAATACCCAGAAGCAGAGAAGAAGATTTTCAAAGAAAAAATGCATTTTCACTATATAATCTATAGAGCCCCTCTCTAACACCAGAACCCCTGACCCTGGGGCCATAAAATTCACAAATCTGAAAGAGGCACTCTTGCTCATCATAACTATGTACTTAGTTAGTTTATTTAATACCCAGAAGCAGAGAAGAAGATTTTCAAAGAAATAATGCATTTTCACTATATAATCTATAGAGCCCCGCCCTAACACCAGAACCCCTGACCCTGGGGCCATAAAATTCACAATTTTGGTAGAGGCACTCTTGCTCATCATAACTATGTACTTAGTTAGTTCATTTAATACCCGGAAGCAGAGAAGAAAAAAGATTTTCAAATAAAATGCATTTTCACCTCTCTAACACCAGAACCCCTGACCCTGGGGCCATAAAATTCACAAATCTGAAAGAGGCACTCTTGCTCATCATAACTATGTACTTAGTTAGTTTATTTAATACCCAGAAGCAGAGAAGAAGATTTTCAAAGAAAAAATGCATTTTCACTATATAATCTATAGAGCCCCACCCTAACACCAGAACCCCTGACCCTGGGGCCATAAAATTCACAAATCTGGAAGAGGCACACTCTTGCTCATCATAACCATGTACTTAGTTAGTTTATTTAATACCCAGAAGCAGAGAAGAAGATTTTTAAAGAATAAATGCATTTTCACTATATAATCTATAGAGCCCCGCCCTAACACCAGAACCCCTGACCCTGGGGCCATAAAATTCACAAATCTGGAAGAGGCACTCTTGCTCATCATAACTATGTACTTAGTTAGTTTATTTAATACCCAGAAGCAGAGAAGAAGATTTTCAAAGAATAAATGCATTTTCACTATATAATCTATAGAGCCCCGCCCTAACACCAGAACCCCTGACCCTGGGGCCATAAAATTCACAAATCTGGAAGAGGCACTCTTGCTCATCATAACTATGTACTTGGTTATTTTATTTAATACCCAGAATCAGAGAAGAAGATTTTCAAAGAATAAATGCATTTTTACTATATAATCTATAGAGCCCCGCCCTAACACCAGAACCCCTGACCCTGGGGCCATGAATTTCACAATTTTGGTAGAGGACTCAATGCTTATTACATTCATGCTAACAGTTTGCCTGCTCGATGTCCATGAGTAAAGAAGAAGATTTTTAAAGATTGCAATAATTTTAGTGGTTTTGGCCCCACCCCTCAGGCCCCAGGGGGGCGGGGACCATGAAATTCGACAATTGTTTGTTCCCCTTCATCCATAGATGCTGTATACCAAATTTGGTTGAAATTGGTTCAGTGGTTTCAGAGAAGAAGCTGAAAATGTTCAAATGTTAACACACGACACACGACACACGACGCACGACGCACGACGACGGACGAAAACGGATAGCAATAGGTCACCTGAGTTACTCAGGTGACCTAAAAAAGCTCACTTGAGGTCTCAAGTGAAACAAAAGTAAAACAAAAATCAGCAGTTAAGTATTGAAAATCTTAAATCCAGACCTACCCCTAAAATGGACGGTAAGTGAATGATTTGAACAAAATTGAAACTAATGAAGTTCTTTTGGCTATCATGGCTTTGCTGTTCTTGAGAAGAAGAATTTTCCTATATACTCTTATGTCAAACTGTGGCTCCACCTTAGCCCTGGGGGTCATAACTTGAACAAACTTGAATTTACACCACTTAAAGATGCGTTCACATAAATATGACCAATCATGATTGCTTTTCTACTCATGAGAAAACTAGAACTGTCTAATAGGGACAAATACTCCCTGCTTGGTTTTTCAGAGAAGGGCATGCAGCCAAATCACAAATATTTTATGAAACTACGAGGTGTTCACAATTTGTTGGAACATATAGTGAAAATATAAGTGCTCATTATATTTTTAAAAAATGAAACTAAGGTGCAGCCTTAAAAAAACCCAAGAGGCCCATGGGCCACATCGCTCACCTGAATGGCCTTGACCATGCTGTTCTTCACCAGATTTCCCCTTTGATATGCCGGTTGTGACCCCACCCTACCCCATTGGTTAAATTTTGACAATTTAAAATGTACACTACCTCACGATGCTATCGTATATGTTTCAGTTTTTCTGCCCCATTAGTTCCCTAGAAGATGATTTTTCCTAAATATTTTAATGTATAACTTGGGTTCCTTCTTGTGGTCCCGCCCTACCCCCAGGGGTCATGATTTGGATCATGAATCAAACCTAGAATATACACTATCCCATGATGCTTTCGCATAAATTTCAGCTTTTCTGGCAAAGTAGTTATTGAGAAGATTTTCAAGTGACCCCACCCTAGGCCTATTTTTGTCTTTCTTGATTATCTCTCATTTTGAGAGGATTTGGTCTTTCATTTAACAATTTAAACTCCCCATCATCCAAGGATGCTTTGTACCAAGTTTGGATAAAATTGGCCCTGTGGTTCTTAAGAAGAAACAGAAAAACTGAAAGTTTATAGATGAACGAACGGACGGACGGAAAGATAGACGAACAGCTAGACTGACGGACAGACGACGGACAAAATGTGATCAGAAAAGCTCAATTGAACCTTTGGCTCAGATGAGCTCAAAATCAATACTAAAGATATTGACCAGACACAAATGACCTTAAAGGGGCAAAGACACAGTTTCAGATTAAATTTAAAAAAAAAATATTTTTCCATTTTTACAAATATCTAACTAGGGTCTTTCTAATGATCATCAAAAATTTGAACGCCAGTTGTCCAGATACAAGACAGATTTAGAGCTCGGGTCCTTGCATGAGGTAAAGAAAATAAAAAATAAAGGAGTGGACAGATGATCTGATTGGAATCTAATCTACATGAGGATGCTATATAAATATGACCAATCATGGCTTTGCTGTTCTTGAGAGGCAACTTTAATCGTCCCTTGTGGCCTTGCCCCACCCCAAAGGGTCATGCTTTGTTTAAAATTGAATCTACACTACCTCAGAATGCGTTCACATAAATATGACCAAACATTACTTTGCTGTTCTTGAGAAGAAAAGTTTTGCAGTTTGTTTCTGGTATATATTCCTATGTTAAAATTTGATTGTCCA